CCCCTAACCCTAGAAGACTCTCCCACAACTCACCTTCCTCATCCCTCTCACACCCCAGCCATCGCCGCCACCGAAAATTGCTCCATGACGGTGGCCCATCTCCAAACGCCCCCTAATTTTCACCCTACACTCCTCATACCCCCCCCTAAGCACTAATCATTCATTAGTTTCCCCAAAATCCCTACCCATTCTCTTTAATCTCAAATCTGAAATTAAAAAAAACCTAAGCCATTCCTAATTCCGATTTTTATGCTTCCAAGGCTCGATTTGACTTGAGAGTTGTGTTAAGCAATTGTTCTTGTTAAGAATAATTGATTAACACTAGTCTTGGTTCATTTCGAGAGGCACCGGCTTCTGACCAGACCACTGATGTTCGACCAAGTTTGTCGCCTTCATCGTTCGTTGAGTCGCTTCATTCCAGCAAAAACCAGTACCCTTCCTCTTTCTTTTTCTTTCTTCGTTTCTATTTTTTTTATTCTGTTTTATTATTTATTTGTTAGAATAAGTTTTTAGTTTCTTTAAAGTTAGTAATTCTAATTGTTCAGTTGCGTAGGTTTTAGGTTAATCGAGCCAAATTAACTAGTTATTAACTGATTTGCATATCTCTTAGATTTATTGCTGATAATTGGATTTAATTGTTAATCGCGTATTAATTAGTTTCAGATGCTTAAGATGGATTGTTTAATAGTAATTTATCTCATTTGTTAATCTAGATGTTTTGTTTTGGGTTGGACAGTGAAGGCTCTATTAATCAGGGCCTGAGTTATTTGAAATTAATCACTTGGGCCTGTCTTGGGCCATATGACCATGACATTTGGCCCAGACCCAAGAAGAAGGTTCTAGATGTAAAAAATATGTGAAAATATCTGGAATGGACAACTGTCCAACAACTATCCATATTCAGTTTTGAAAGATGCTGAAATTTGGGGTTGGATGTAGAGATTTTATTCCAAAATTCCTTAGCAGCACATGGGAGAGTGAGCACCTATATATAGGACCCCTTCTTTCTTGAATTTTTCTTGATTTGGATAGTTGAAGAAACCATGGATAATTTAGAAATTGGTTGGACCCTTAGTCTTTTTCCTGATTTCTTTTCTCCTTTAGGCTTAAAGTTAGAATGAAAGGAATCAACTCTTATATCTTTTATTTTCACTTGAAGTTTGGAGCAGTGTTCTTTGGATTTCTATGTTTAAAGCTGAAGTTTATTTTGAATCACTCTTGTTGTTTCTGTTTGGCTGCTGCACCTTCTCATTCTCAGAAGTTTATTTTTATTTTTGGTTGATTTTGTTGTAAACAGGTATGTAGCTGAACATTTTCTTGGCCGTTGAATCATATACATGAAGTTGAACTATTTGCTGCCTCACTTTCGATGTTGTGTGACCATGAGTTCCAAACGCTAATTGTCTGTCTTCTGTTGATTAAAGTTGTTGTCTATCCAGTGAACATGTTAAATTTGCCTGAAATGAGATCTATGCTTGGAGTTTGGTGTTATAGTTCAAAAAACGATTTAAACTATTTAACTTCATGGTAATTTTTTGTTTGTTTGGGGCTCAGAAATAAAAAGGAGAAAAGAACTCCTTGCATTAGTTTTTACTCTTCTGAATTCGTTGATTGTGGTGTAGTGTATCTACTGCTCATAGTCTTTGAACTTGGACGGTGTTAGAGTATTATTGAAATGTTAATAGGCACGGAGATATGAGTTTCATTTTATTTTTGTAATTTGTAAATCTTTGATAATCGTTGGCTCTGCAATGCTCCTTTAATTCTTTCCATTTAGTGGTCAAATGTGTATAATACGTTTGTTGTCCAAAAATTTATAAACATTGAAGTTAAAGGTGAAGCTCTAGACTATTTGTGGTTTATTGTTAAATGATTGTGTATGGATATAAAGCTTATACAGTTGCTTGTAAATTGCAGTGAGCGTAGCTTTCTTTTTAATTCACTGTGGCCCAGTCCATATATAAGAATGCAAGTCTGACTAGTGTTGTAGATGTTGTTTTTTTTTACTTGACAAAACTTTTAGTTGTTCATGGTATCAAATATTTGTTTTATTTTATAAATCTTGTAAGTATAAAATGATCTTGATATTGATAACATCTTTAAAATGAAATGCCAAGATGAAGTAATCACGTCTTTCTGTTAGAAAAATGCGTTCAGAAGTTTGGTTTGAATAATTCACACCTCACGCTCCTTTAATGTTGTATTCCATAGCCTTTTGATCCTTTGCAATAATCTCCAATTTAGGAATTTAGTAATTCAAGAACATCGTAGTTTTCTTTAGGCACGATTAATATTAAATCATCATGACTATGAGTACGGTTTTTGTGGCATAGTCGTGATACCTAATTTTCAAATTCGGGTGTACATTTCATGTGACCCAATTATAACAACTTCGAACAATAATAAAATAAACATGTCGTGAATTGCGAGTGCATTTCATGTAGCGTGGTTTGCAATGTGTTCCAAGACGGCAAGTGTACAAAAATCGTAACTTGTTCAAGATATAATTCTATAAAACCTAAAAAGGGGTTAAAATAATTAAAAGTGGTAATAAAGTTAAAAATGCACAATAGGATTAAAACAAGTAATGAATCAGATAATTAGGCCAATTATTAATAGTTAAGCGACCGTGCTTGTAAAGACTCGACCGGTTGTTTTGAGCTTTTGCACTTCACTCGCCAGTTCTCGGGCATGTCTAGCCCCGTATGATGTATTATGACTTATGTAAATGTTGGTTTTGGTTTTCAGGGCAATCGGAATGAATTTGGAAGAACAGTTCTCAATTTGAAGCTTAAAATCTAAAAGGATTGACCAAGTTTTGACTTGTTAATATATGATCTCGGATTGAAATTTTTATGATTTAGTTAGCTTCGTTAGGTAATTTGGGACTTAGAAGCATGATCGGAATCTATTTTGGAGTCCTTGCAAGGTCTAGGCTTGAATTGGCGAAATTGGAATTCTGGCATTTTCCGGTTAATAGGTGAGATTTTGATATAGGGGTCAGAATGGAATACCGGAAGTTTGAGTAGGTCTGTTGTATCATTTGTGATGTGTGTGCAAAATTTTAGGTCATTCGGATGAGGTTTGATAGACTTTTTGATCGAATGCGAAATTTGGAAGGTTTTAGAATGCTTAAGATTGAATTAGGTGATGATTTAGTGTTTTGATGTTGTTTAGAGCATTCTGAAGGTTGGAACAAGTTTGAATGATGATAAGGGATATTTTGGCATGTTTGTTTGAAGTCCCGAGTGCCTCGGGTGAGTTTCGGGAAGTAAACGGATCATTTCAGACTTGGAAAGTTTGCAGAAATGTTGTTGGTGTTCAGTTTTGGTGTCTTTCTATGCGGTCGCGTGGTTATGAATGCAATCGCATAGGGCTATTTGGGGGCCGCATAATTTTTTTTCTACGCAATCACCTTAGAGTGGTCGCGATCGTGTGAAGTTAGGGCATGTGTGTAGTGCGATCGACTTGGTGTGGTCCGCAATCACGTAGGGGTCTGAGGTGCATGAGAGGGCTACGTGGTGGTTCTATGCGAACGCGTGCGGCATGGACGCGATTGCGTAGAGGGAGTTTGGTCAGTGCTTCGCGAACGCGTGGTTTTTCACGCGAACGCACTGAGGTAAAGGGGCACCTGGGCAGAAAGTTTAAGAAAAAGCCACCTTCGCAACTTTTAGCCATTTTTCCACCATTTTTGGATGAATGTGAAGCTTTTGAGAGAATTTAAAGAGGGAATTAAAGGGGAAACACTTGAAAGTATGATTTTTGGCCTCAATTCTTGATTCTATGTTGATTTCTAAGTAATCAAACCTGAAATTAGTGTGATTTAAACCCAAAATTTGGTGAATTAGGGCTTATGATTTGGAGACCTTTGAGTGGGGATTTGAGGGGCCATTTGAGGTCCAATTTTGATGTTTTTGCTATGTATAGACTCGCGTGAGGATGAAGATTCTATTGATGTAATTTTTGTCGGATTTTGAGATGTGGACCCGAGGGTCAGGTTTGGCCAATTTCGGAATTTTGAGTTAATTCGTTTATTTTTGCTTGGGCTTTGTTTCTTTAGCGTGTATTAATGATGTGGAACTGATTTTGGTTAGATTCAGAGCAAGTGGAAACTGATTCAAGAGGCAAAGGCATCGCGGACTAGAGTTTGGACCGGATAGAGGTAAGTAATGACTGTAAATGTTGTCCTGAGGGTTTGAAACTCTGGATTTCACATCGTTGTGCTATTTTTAGGTGATACACATGCTAGATGACGAGCGTAGGTCGTGCACTATTGGGGATTGTGACTTAGTCCGTCCCGTATGACTGTTTAGCTACGTATTTGATTGAAAACTGTTTGTTATTATAATGTTTTGGGTTAAATACTATGTTTGGGCCTCGTACCGACTGTTTTTGACCATTATGGGACTTTTACTACTTCTTCTCACTGTTTTGTCTTAGTAATTGTACTCAGTCATGCTGCATTTTTGTAATTTCCTAACTCAGCCTTATTTACTAAATTTTGGCACTATAAATGATATTTGAGCTGAACGCCCTGTTTTACCGATAGTCCGAGTGACTTGTGAGGTTGATGGCTGAGAGAGGCCGAAGGCCTAGTTGTGAGATTGATTGCTAAGATAGATCGAGGGTCTGATTGTTAGATTATTGACTGAGAGAGGTCGAGGGCTTGGTTATGAGGATTATATATTTATGGATTGGGCTACAAGCTGCAGCAATATATATATATATATATCGCTTGGGCTGCATGCCGCAGCGATATAGCGCTTGGGCTGTAGGAGCTCCTCCGGAGTCTGCACACCCCCAATGAGCACAGTCGACTATATATATGGATCGGGCTGCACGCCGCAGCGATATATGGACCGGGCTGCACACCGCAACAGTTATTATATAGTACCTATTGAGTGTGAGGGCTGAGTGTGAATGCTGATTAATAAGAGTTGAGTCATGACTGACTGAGAGGCTTGCCCTAGAGGATATATATACATGTATACGAGTGATTCTTTTCCTGAGGGGCCTGTTTATGATCTTCCTGGTTTCACTCCTCCTTAAAGTGAATTTCTATTGAATGTGTTGATTTATTACTGCTTTCACTCATCTTTAGACCGAGCCTCTATTGAAAATGTTGGACAAATTCTTTAAACAACTTTCATTTAAACTGAAGTTTTTAAGTTGTAAAATGGTTGTGAATTTCTATTTTGCCGAGGGGCTGTATACGAACTATGTTTGCCGAGGGGCCGATTATGATTTTCATCATTTTCACTATATATATTTCATTAAACCTCTATTGAAAAGGTTGGAAAGACAGTTTTTTCAAAGGGTTTTACTGAAGTTGGAAGTTTAACGAAATGATTTGAATGGTATCCTGTTTTGGGAACATACTGTAATCATTGTGGTGCTATGACATGGTTTACTTGATTTCTTACTGCTCAGTCTTTATTTACTTTTATTACTTACTGAGTTGGCGTACTCACATTACTCCCTACACCTTATGTGCAGATTCAGGTATTTCAGAGCTCGATGGCAGGTTCATCGAAGTTAGCAAGGTAGCTGCTTGGCGATCGCAGCCCTGCTTTTCTCCCTCCTTATTCCTCCTTATGCATTCTTGTGATTTTTCCCGGCCATATTGGTCTTTATGTTGTTAGATAGTTATAGTAGATGCTCATGACTAGTGACACCCTAATGTTGGGCTTGTGTATTTATTTTGCACTATTCATTTGAACTTATATCATGAGACTATAGATTAATAAATGTTATAAAAGTAACTTTTATTGAATAATAGTTGATTTGGGAGTTGTGTCGGTTGGCCTAGTTTCACGATAGGTGCCATCATGTCCGGTTTGATTTTTGGGTCGTGACAAGTTAGTATTAGAGCCTAGGTTACATAGGTCTCACGAGTCATGAGCAGGTTTAGTGGAGTCTCGCGGATCAGTACAGAGACGTTTGTACTTATCCTTAGGAGGCTGTAGAACATTTAGGAAAAACTTCACATTCTTGAATTCTTATCGTGCATCCTTGATTCAACTTGAAACGTAACTCTTTGGATTTCCAGGCATATGTATGCGCACATGAGTGCTCAGTATCAGATATGCATCAATGGCTTGTGATTCCCTGATCAAGGAACAAGGTGTGATCTCTGTGTGTTGATGTTAGGCCAGTCTGGAGGACTTGAGGCTGGGTCTTGCCAATAGCTTGAGCACTGAGGCGTTGATTGTGTGAGCACGTGCTTTTGGATTTGTATGTTCGTTAGTTTCCCTATTAGTGAGAGTGATATCTGGATAGCTATGTGATCAGTATAATGTGACTGCGAGTTGTGTTCATATGAATTGAATGAGACGAGGGGGGGGGGGGCTGCTTGGGNGGGAGTAACAAGAACCATCCGGTGCTTGATTTTCATCGTGAGTTGATGTATAACCCGAGTTGTAGGCATTATGAAGGATCTTTTTCATGTTGTCTAGTTAGTAATAGAGTAAATCTCATGTCATGAGATGAGTTCATACTTAGGAAGGGTAAGTGACAAGGTATGTGCATGGTAAGGTTACTAAGTGATTGATGATTTTTGGAACAACTCTGGGCACATTCGAGGACAAACGTATGCTTAAGTGGGGGAGGATGTAATGACCCGATCAGTCGTTTTGAGCTTTTGCACTTCACTCGACAGTTCTCGGGCATGACTAGCCCTGTGTGATGTATTATGACTTATGTAAATCTTTGGTTTTGGTTTTCAGGGCAATCAGAATGAATTTGGAAGAACAATTCTCAGTTTGAAGCTTAAAATCTGAAAGGTTTGACAAAGTTTTGACTTTTTAGTATATGATCTCTTATTAGAATTTTTATGATTTGGTTAGCTCCGTTAGGTGATTTGGGACTTAGGAGCGTGATCGGAATGCATTTTGAATGGCCATGGAAGGTTTAGGCTTAAATTGGCGAAATTGGAATTCTTAT